CCTGCTGCAGATAGAAACCTCAGAAGCAAGCAGCTATGATAGTAACTGTTTCAGTCTTTAATCAACTTTATGGATTAAGTCAATCATTTTAGATTGTTCAATGCAGACCTGCAAGTCGTGAAATTACTCAAGGCATTCTATAACCGATATTACATACATTTACTTCATAACAAGTAGATCATTATTTTATATTTGTTGCCATTATATTCCCTCATAAACTCATCTAAAATGTGACTAAATGACTTACTAGAATTAGCCAGAACATCACAAATTATTAAAGTCTGTTGAGAGCATGTGCATTTATGGTGCAGAAAAAAATCCTTAAAACTATTAAGACAAATATTCCAAGTCCAGTATCTCAGCAATTTGAAATTTTATAGTGGAGTTCTGGAACACTACAAGAGTGGATATTGCTTGCAGAAACTTTGGCAGTGCAGCATTACCTAATACTAGTGCTGGAAAAGTGACAGGCTTTTTTGAGTATTTTTACAAGCAGATAAAACAGTGAATTACAGCTTTCGTAGAAATTCTATTCCAGAACTTTACTTATACAGAGAAAATGAAGTGGTACAAAATTAGAGCATTAGAGACTTTAATATGGATTTTTTGTTTTCTTTTCAAAGTTGCCACTTTCTATCTACTAGCCATCTCAAAATGAGACTTAGAAATTTGAGGCTGATGTACTTTTCACATTGGTCCACAGATACAAAGAGGGCAGGAGGAATTTCTTAGGTGTTATGTACCCCTTCCATATTGTGTCTTTCAGAGTACTGAAGACAGACTATTGAAGGCTAAACTTTATCAAAAATTTTCTAATTTGAATGCTCGTTTGCTCTTTCTGCCCTCTTGAAAACATCTTGCTGCTGCTGCCAACCCATTCTGAAAGTGTTCTATGAAGGGAAACTGTCAAAATGACAAACTTTGCACTGTCTCTGACACTGAAAATGAGTGTGTTTTTGCTTCTGGACTGTTCGTTACCAGCAGACGAAGATTTTCTAAGTTGCCTGCAGCTGACACAGCCATTTGCCAAAACTAGCAGTCCAATGGAAGGCCAGAAGTAGAGATGTCTTTTCAGCATCTTGCAGTTTACTCAGTTTCTTGTCACTTCTTTTCTGATATTCAGAAAAGAACAGACATATTGGAGGTTCTGGAAAAACACATTTTTTTCTTCCTTTGCCCATGTGAATCCAGACAACCTAGATGCTTTTTAGTAAAAGCTATTTTGTCCTTAGTGGTTGTTAGTTGCTGTAATTTTCTTCCAGTACTGTGCTTTACTTAGGATTACTTTTCTCTTATTTCCCTTCGTTCAGACACATTATAATGTAGTGGTGCTTTGTAAACAAGCAGCAGATATCTATCAAGAATCATAGCATTCAAGTTTTCTACATGGAATGTTAAAGTAAATAAAACAAAACCAAAAAAAGGACATTTAAAAGTTATGTTAAAAACATAAAATCAAAAAGCAAAAGTTCCTGCAGAATTTGAGTTGTTTTGTACATCTCTGACTCTCACGAATCTTAAGAAAGCAGCAGCATTCAAGGTTTTCTTTTTTCTTCTTTTTTTTTCTTTCTACCTGTTTTCTTAGAAGTAAGCAATTTATTTAACTTGTTGGTATTGTAACACTGGTGCAGTGGGAGTCAGGAGGCTTTGTAGCTACATTCTCATTTCTGAAATGTGATTACTGCTATTATTTCTAATTCATAATCTATGATAGCTGAGTGAACCAAATACTTAAGTTAGTGCAATCCACAGTCACTTCTCCTAATGATCAGTAAAAGCTCTGTTACTCTCTCCTCAATAAGAACTAGCCTTGCACTAGTTTATTTAAAGCATTTATGCAGACTCCCAAGATAAAGGTGACTTTAAATGGAACCCAATTCTAGATTATGGAGTTTTTAAGATGAAAAATGCTAGCTTTTAGTTAATTTGACATGTATGGATTATTTCTTCATTTTGAATTTAACGTAAAGAAAAAAGAAGTGAATTGTAAATACACCACTCAAAAGAAGGAAGTGTTGTACTGTACCAAATGGCCAATTTTAATACTGGCCAAGGATCTGCAGCACATGTGATTAAAATGACTTTTTCTGTTCTTAAATATATGCAAGGGAATAATGTGTTTGCTGCTGCATTTGATTGTCAGTTGTCCTGGATACTTACTGGCTACAAATGCTAATGCTGAAAACAAAGCTCAGACACTTCTGTAACTGGTGCCTTATGATAAGTTAACTTTTGTTATTTCTTTGTTTCTGTGTTGAGACAGTAAGCATTTAAATAGGAGGGTATTTTTTGAAGTTCTCGCATATTAGAATAAGTGTTCTGTATTGTGTATTTCTGTGCTTTCCCCCATTTCTATAAATAGAAGCTCAGCCTCTGTTTTCAGTGAGAGAAACTGTCACTAGTTTGACACTGAAAATACAGTTGGAATTTGAAGAATATTTTGCAGTTTCTTTTATCCCTAGTGATTATGCTTTTTGTTGTTGTTGAATACAGTGGTCTTTGGCAATCTAATTATCTTTATGCTTAACATACATAAACATATTTATATCAGATGATTCATTGTATCACGTTGCCTAAATGTAATTTCTACCGTTGCTCATTGGAAATAAGCATACAGGCATATTAAGAAACTTTAGTAAAGAGAAGTGCTATTCTTTGAAATGCAAAGCTCTTGAAGTATATAAAATATGATAACTAATTCACTTACAAAGTAACTGTGGGACAATGAATTGCACAATCTTGAAGAATCAGTCATTGAGAACGTGTAGACATTACTGTAACAACATGCTTCTGGTGACAGGGGCCTTGAAACTCTACCAAAAAACTTGTTCAGACA